CATGTGCGCAACAAACAGGTTCATGGCGCGTAGGCTTAGAGTAACAATGTCATCCCCGGAAGCTATTAAAAAGATTACTCCTAGTGACAAAAATATACAGAAAGGAAGACCTTACAACCATTGCATAAAATATAGGAAACAACTTCTGCAGCAAGAAGAAGCAGAAGCGCGGTAAGAAAAGAGGGACTAGAGGAAGGAAGAGAGTGAGCAAGGGATTGGTGGTAGTGGTGCACGCAAATCACACCGACGGCGACCCAGGAACACCAGGCGTACATCCTTGGAGAGCACCAAGCGCTACGCGTACATCGGTGGCGATTGGCTGGTAGCAGTTTGTGGGTGGAAGTTTGTTAGTGGCAATTGATTGGTTGTAATTAGTTAATAGCAATTTGTGGGTTGAGGCGGGGGGAGGAGGACGAAGGAGGAGCGGATCCAACACTAATTAGACGACGGTTGGCCCGAGAGCCAGACAGGTGATTGTCAATAGTTAAAACCGAGTTGTCCAAGAGCCATGACATCCTTATATTTGGAAATTATCTTAGATGCGCTCTAACAACAACTTTTTTTCAGCCTTGCGTGAACCAACACACATGAAAGAACAAAGCATGGAGTTTAGTTTGTTAAAGTAAGCAAAAGTTGTTTTTTACTTTTGAAAAAATATTCCTTTTCAGCGCCTCCTTGACAGAGCCAAAAAGGGAAAACCTCCCGAAACTGGGCCGCGTTGTAGAAAATGCGGCCCGAAGGAACCTGACAAGAAAGACGAAAACAATAGTCCATGTAAATTCTTCTTCACACAGCGGCGTGCCTCCATAAGCCAAGCTCAACGCCTACCTCCGCCTGTCGACGCAACACAAAAGAAAACAAAGGCAATTCCCTCCACGCGCCCTGCCCTGCCTGCCCTTCGCTGGTTTTATCGCCGAAGGAATTGCGCTGGTCGTGGTCCACCCCCACATGGGCGCCAGCCGGCCACCGGATAGTGCGCGAAGGGGTCAAAAGCGAGGTGGCGCGCGCGTAGGCAGCCTGAGGCAAGTTCAACAAACAATGAGGAAAGAAAAGATTGCGCGCCCTGCCTGAATGGAGTCGGCGTGATAGAGCATGAGCTGCGCCGTGGGGCTCTCCTTGAAGAGGCGAGCAGCATAGAAGGTTGCGCCATCCTTTTCGTTGCCGCAAATGAGCTGGAGCACCCGCGGCAAATGAGCTGTGAAGGGGCGTGGCTTATAAGACCTTGCCCAAAAATGTCAGACGATGCGACCTTGCCTGGAGGCGTCGAGGCGGCGCAACAGGTTTGGGCCGGCGTTGCCCCCAACGCGCCGACCACAAATCACATTCCAACTCGCGGCCAAGGCGGGTTGTGCGCCGCGGTATCCTGTTGACCACCACGGCGCCACGAGCTCCAAGGGCAGCCGCCGCGCCACCTCAAGCCAGTACGCCCTCCGCAGCACAGCCTGCAAGCAAGCCCTGCTTTGAAAGTAAAGCTATGTAGAAAGAGAGAAAGAGAGGGGAGTGACAGTGTGGATGTGCAGGTGTGATTGATATAGTTATAGACGTGCAGATGCGCGGGTGTGTGGAGGTAGAGAGGTAGATCTGCGGACGTGAGCGCGTGAAGATGTAAATGTGCAGAGGTGAGGGTGTAGACGTAAATGTGCGGATGAAACGGCAGCGCAACTTCGTGGTTCAGGAGCGCCAACCTTGGTGTATCTCTTGTTGCGCAAGTACAACGCTGAAGAGGTTCGAATCAAATTGAAGAACGTCCGTTCCACATTGAAGCCCGTGCGAAATGGACGTCGTAGGTTCGTCCCGAAAAGTTTCGACGGACGATCCGCGACATAAATTAGCCTCGGCACGCTGCGCTGAAGTCTCTTTGCCACTGACCGCGCAAACCTTCTAGGTGCCACAAAGCTTCCAAGATTGCGCCAAGGACGCGAAGCAGGTCTGCTTTGAAGCAGCAACTGCACGGCCTCCTGTGCGGAAGAGTCGTAAGCTACGACGAGCCCAGCGCACAAAAAGAATACCAGCGCTTCGATTGATGCCACCAAGAGCACATGCATGGATTTGTCCGTGGTCACCGCCAGGACTGTTCGCACACCTGGCTGCAAACGATTTTCCACTGTCTCAAACAGAAAGCCACCAAGTCCGGAATTTTCTCAAGCCAACGCTTTGCCAGCTTCAATGTTGTGCCCTCCAACTGACACTTGATGTGAAAGACATCTTGCTGTTGAAAGTATTGCGTCCAGTCTGTCGGCGCACCTTGGATCTCCATCTCATGTGCACACATGGTCACGACCACGGTGACCTTCAAAAACGAGCTCATCTTACACCCACTCATCTTACACCGCTCATCTTACACCGCTCATCGCACACCACGCGTCACACACCACGCATCTTACGCCACTTATCACGCACCTCGCATCTTACACCACTCATCAGCGCAATACAGAGAGCCTGCAGGAGGACCTGCGGGACGCGCCGCTGGGCCGCGCCTGCCTTTCGCTTGGCAGGCCCAGTACACAGAGCCTTCAGGAGGACCTGCGGGACGCGTGGTCGCCTGCCTTCTAGTTTGCGTTGTGATCAGGCTACAGACGATGCGTGCGATGGTAACCACGCAGCACGGCATAGATACAGATAACAGTCTATCACTGTGCTACTTCAGTCACATGGACTCATCCTTTTATTTTTTTTAGATCACGCATCACCTGCGCCAAGTACTCTGACCTGCACGGGGTGCGGCTTGCACTTGCGCTGCCTCTCTTCAAAAAGAACTTGGTTCTGAAGAAGCTCACATAAAGCTGACCTACAAAAGAAGCTACGCCCCACACACTCTGTCTCTCTCACTCCTTCAATCGTCCAGTATTTTTCCTTTTCTTCCCAGTCCCTGCTTCTCGTTGCTAGTTCTTACAAGCTTGACGTGTGGGGTTATCTGGCCCTTTTATGTTTCTTTTTGTTTTCATTCTTTCCTCTGTCTGTTCCCCTTCCTCCATCTATAAGGTGTCAGCCTCATTACTTACACAAGGCTGCGTCGCGCGGAATTAATCCCAAGCAAATGCGAGAGGCAGGCCAGCGCGTGTGCAATGATTGTTTTAAGTCTTAACTGCGAAGTTTTGCGGGTAATGTGGGGTTCAAAAGGTGGTAGTTTTGGTCGAGCGGCAAACAATTCTCCAGATGCTCCGCGTACTAAAGTTGTACTGGAAAGTCGCCAGTTCGCATCTTCCAGCTCCCCAGATACTCCGCGTACTAAAGTTGTACTACAACGTCGCCAGTTCTCAGCTTCCTAGCTCCACAGATTGCTCCGCGTACTAAAGTTGTACTAGAAAGTCGCCAGTTCTCATCTTCCAGCTCCCCAGATACTCCGCGTACTAAAGTTGTACAACAAAGTCGCCAGTTCTCAGCTTCCTAGCTCCACAGATTGCTCCGCGTACTAAAGTTGTACTACAAAGTCGCCAGTTCTCATCTTCCAGCTCCCCAGATACTCCGCGCACTAAAGTCGTACTACAAAGTCGCCAGTTCTGCGCTTCCAGACAGATTGCTCCGGGTACTAAAGTTGTACTAGAAAGTCGCCAGTTCTCATCTTCCAGCTCCACAGATTGCTCCGCGTACTAAAGTTGTACTACAAAGTCGCCAGTTCTCATCTTCCAGCTCCGCAGATACTCCGCGTACTAAAGTTGTACAACAAAGTCGCCAGCTCAGCTTCCAGCTCCACACAGACTGTGCCTGGCACGAAATCTGCACCTCGAGGTTCACACAGTGCTGTGCCTGCCACGAAATCTGCACATGGAGGTTCGCGCAGTGCTGTGCCTGCCACGAAACCTGCGCATGGAGGTTCACACAGTGCTGTCCCTGCCACGAAATCTGCACATGGAGGTTCACAAAGTGCTGTGCCTGCCACGAAATCTGCACACGGAGAATCACAAAGTGCTGCGCCTGCCACGAAATCTGCACATGGAGGCTCACAAAGTGCTGTGCCTGCCACGAAATCTGCGCATCGAGGTTCACACAGTGCTGTGCCTGCCACGAAATCTGCACATGGAGGTTCACAAAGTGCTGCGCCTGCCACGAAATCTGTGCATGGAGGTTCACAAAGTGCTGTGCCAGGTTTGCAAAGTGCTGTGCGTGCCACGAAATCTGCACTTCAAGAAACAACTGAAACCTCTAATCACAATGGAGGGACGCCCGAGACCGTCTTCCGCAAAGCTAGACTTGCAAGCTTCGGAGCCACCCTTTCTATTGAAAAACACAGGATTTCGTGCGTCCGCTATCTCCCGAAAACGCATATTCTGCGCCTCGAGGTTCGCAAAGTGCTGTGCCTGCCACGAACTCTGCACATGGAGCACAAAGTGCTGTGCCTGCCACGAAATCTGTGCATGGAGGTTCAAAGTGCTGCGCCTGCCACGTAAACTGGAGCTAGAGGTATTGAAACTAGAGCTAACTGGAGCTAGAGCTCTTGCAACTAGAGCTAACTGGAGCTAGAGCTCTTGAAACTAGATGGTGTATTGATGAAGTGGTGTATGATGAGTGGTGTATGATGAGTGGTGTATTGATGAATGGTGTATGATGAGTGGTGTATTGATGAGTGGTGTATGATGAATGGTGTATGATGATTGGTGTATGATGAGGGGTGTATTGATGAGGGGTGTATGATGAGTGGTGTATGATGAGTGGTGTATGATGAGTGGTGTATG